TTCACACAGTAGAACACCCAGATCTCTTTGCATCTCAGAACTCTGCAATCTCTCACCATTTAGATTAAATGCATTTTTATTCTTCCTGCCAAAATGGACATTTCACATTTTACGACATTATATTCTGTTTGCCAGAGTTTTCCTACTCACTTAACCCACTCTGTGTCACTCCTTATGTCCAGTTCACAACATGCTTTCCTACCTATCTTTGTATCATCAAAAAATGTAGTAACTGTATCTTCCATCCCACCATCCAAGTCATTTATGTAAATTTGCAACAGATGAAATTCCAGTACCGATCCCAATGGCATATCATGCGTTACATCTTTCCAACCTGAAAAAGACACTTCTGTGCCTACTCTTTGTTGTTAACAAAACAATCTTCTATCCGTGTCGGTACACTACCGCTTAAAATCTGAGCTTTTCTTTTCCACTAAACAGCAACGGTTCCAATATAGCAACATCCCATAAACACATGCTTGGCAAAGGCAAATTCAGTAAAATAGGTTATTTCATGTGCAATATTTCTCTAGTCCAGGAGGAAAGAACATCGAGAAAATTCTGGTAGAGGGAACTCCAGCTTTTAGCTGTGACAGAGAGAAAGACAGCTTCTACAGCCAGCCTCAAAACCCCAGCAATTACTGAGAGCTAAACTAAAACCCTGATTCTGTGGGAGCCTGACTCCACCCATTCATGCTGCTTGCATCGTTCCAACTTTTAAAAAGAACCAAAGGCCTCTCAAGTTATTTATCAACTTGGAGGAGACAGCTCTGCACCTATGGGCTCAAAACCTGTTCCTAAAAAAAAAAGACAAAATACATGCCTTAAAGTCATAATATCATCACGGGGGATGGTGAGACACCAGGAGAGGTGGGATGGTATCTGCTCTGTGAGCAGCAGGAGGCCATCTACTCCAGGGTGGGGTGGGAGACCTACACCAGGAATGGGCTGGGGAAAGACCTGCAATGGAACCAGATTTTTTTTTTGCCTGGGAGCAATTGGGAAGCTAATTGTTTATTTTCTCCAATGATATTATTCTGTTGTGCAAGCTACTTTTTTTTACATCCTGCATCACCATCTTTAGATAGGAAGCTTCTTCTCATCACTCGACAGTGATGTCAGCTCTCTTTTTGCACTTATTCTAGGTGGTAGTCTTAGGAAAACCAGCTTTGGAAAATTAAAATCAATGCATTGACTCTAGCCACTTGTTTTAAAGCCCTAGGATGAAGTCCATCAGGACTCAGATACTTACTGTTTCCCCATTTTACTCAGTATTACTCCTCTGTTTGTGATTTTCCTGAGTTCTTTACTGCTTTTCATTTCCTGATTTATCACTGCTCCGAGGATGTTACTTGACTCCTCTATAGTGAAAACCAATGCGAAATACCTATTCAATTCACCTACCATCTCATTATTTTCCATTATTAATTCCCAGATTCATTTTCTCTACTCATATTGTTAATTCTTAAAAATATTTACCGAAAATATTTTTGTTTGTTCTTGATATTTCTTGCTAGATTTCTCTTGTACTCTAATTTTTCGCTCATTAATATTTTGATAATCTTTTGCTGTTTTCTATATTCTATCAAATCCTCTAAACCGCCACCTGCAATTTTCCTTTGCACAATTACATGCTTTTTATTTAAAGTTTGATACTACCTTTCTATAGTTAGCCATAGATGTGTCTGTCTCTTGGAGTTCCCCATAAATGTCTGCCACTGCACCTATCGAAATCCATCCTTTAATCTAATTTGTCAATTCTGTTTAAGCAGTTCTGTTTGTATGCCCTGATTGTTGCCATTATTTAAATTTAAAAAGTTGGTATTAGACTTGCTTCTGTCCCTCAGACTGAATGTAAAGTTCAATCATATTATGGTCACGTGGCCTAGTAGTACCAAATTGGTTGTTAGTGTTATTCCTACAGATTGGGATTATTCAACTACTGTTGAAAATTCATATCTAATGTTGGACAATATGTCCTGAGTTTTGCAAGCGCAGTCTGATTGAGTACGGTCAGTACTCTGTCTATTCTGAACAGCTGAAGGGACATGCTGTGTGATATGATCCATTAGTTATTGGAACGAAGAGCCTTCTTAACTGACATCACAGTGGCATCCTGTTAATAGATACCAATCATGTTGCTATTGCATAGAAACAGTGCAAATTTTCTGCTTCAATCATTTAGCTTAAACAATCTTTGTTTATCTGAATCTTAAATAAGAAAATATTGTACAATTGGCTGTTGATTCATTTGCAGCATGCTGCTGAATTCAATGGAAATTACATGTTCATGTAGCTTTGTGCTTATTAGATTCATACCAGTTTTCTTTAATGTGCCAATTTTTATCTACAGTAAATACCATCTAAGTATCTTCCAGAATTCAGTTTGATTAAGAGTGTTGCCCAATGTTTTTTGAAATTTTATTCCTCGCAGAATGGGTTTTTGGTTTGCGTTACTCTTTAATGTAGTGAATTCATGCAAAATAGTAAGAAAGCTTCTTGTCCTCATCCCTCCTTTCACAATCATGTTATCATTATTGTACATACAGAAAGTCTTCTTATTTTCTTTCATTTTTTGACAATTTTTAATACAAAGATTCTTGGCCTACAAACCTTTTATTAGCTTTCCTATAGCTTTTTCAACTGTTCTGACTTGCATTTATTATCTTTGCTGTGAGTTTTCAAAATATATGTCTGTGACTTACAAAAGATAATGGAAATTTAGAACTTGCTACCCCAAATGTTGTGTTACACTCAACTGAAATGTTCAGAACTTCAATGAAAAGTTGTTTTGCTATGTAAAGGTGTCGAGATATGAAAGGAGAGTTGGTAAATGGCATTAAGGCAAAGATCAGAGCAAATAGCAAACCATGCTCAAGAAGTCGAATGGTCGACAGTGTTCCTATGCATGCTGTGCACTATAGTTGTGGGCAGAGACATATACCGATTTGTGAAAGGTAAATTGAAACATGTCACAGCAGTGGAAGAGGACCTGAACATTGAGAGAACAAAAACATTTTCTACAGGCAAACCGAGCTGACAAAATGGAAAAGCAAAGAGAAATGAAAGAAAGGGAGTGAAGGTGATGAATGGAGCAGGCTCAAGAGGTTGAATTGCTAATGCTGCTCCTAACTGGTATACTCGTATGAATAATAATACTGGACACGGTAGAAATGATCTAGAAGTGAGTGGAAGCCAGGAAAAGAAAGACTTACATTTATGAGACAACAAGGCCATTTCTGAAGAAGGGTCGAGGCCCGAAACGTCAGCTTTCCTGCTCCTCTGATGCTGCTTGGCCTGCTGTGTTCATCCAGCTCTACACCTTGTTGTCTCAGATTCTCCAGCATCTGGATTCTCCAGATAGAGTTCCTGCTATCTCTGAAGACTTACATTTATGTTGTGTTTTTTCCCATTAACAAACACCTCAGCCAAAGAAGTACTTTTGAAGTGTAGTCAATGTAGTGATGCACAAATATGGCAACCAATTTGTAGATAGTAAATTCCCACAAACAGCAATGAAATAATGATCCGGTTATCTGTTTTAGCGATATTGACTGAGAAATGAATATTGACCAGGGCACCAGGAATAACCTAAATAAAAACCAAAAGAACTGTGGATGCTGTAAATCAGGAACAAAAACAAAGTTGCTGGAAAAGCTCAGCAGGTCTGGCAGCATCTGTGAAGGAGAAAACAGAGTTAACGTTTTGGGTCCGGTGACCCTTCCTCAGAACAGGAAGGGTCACTGGACCTGAAACGTTAACTCTTTGTTCCTTCACGATGCTGCCAGACCTGCTGAGCTTTTCCAGCAACTTTG